CTCAGGTTGGTTGTGCCCCTTCAGTAGGCAACTTGTTACTTGTTGTTCTAGGACGTAAAATTGAAGCAGAAGAGGACATTGCTATGTAGGGACTGACACAGCCAACATCAACTGCATTTTGTAGGATTTCTCCTGTGGGAGAGGGAGGCTACTTTATCCAAGATCTAATCAGAGGAAGTGAAATCTAGCTTTTGTCTCAATTTTTTCACGTAAATTAAGCCAAATGATTTTAATACGTTAGAAAATTTACTTAACTGGATGATGGATTAGACAAATGCCATTGCATTTTAACTCATTTCAATTCATGATTCATCATTGCTAATACCTGAATAGTAAAATGAACTTGCTTTATTTTCTTTTTTTATAGGGAAGTGTGGGGAGCCATTGCACCGCGCCCTAAAGATGGCGCCGGCTCCTTTCTCCCGGAAGGACTGGCAAGAAACAAACAACTCCTAATAAGGAGATGGCTGAGCTCCCTTCTGGCTTCCGCATTGCTGTACCTATCAATCCTTGCCACTTGGCTGCTTTTGATTGGTGTGCTGATGGCTATAAGAGGGATGGGAGAGGGAAGGAGGCAGAAGAAGAAGCTTGTTCAAGGTTCCTGAATAAACTGCTTGAAGAAGAGTTCGGGTTGTGTCTTCCTTGCTGGTAGAGGGACGCGACAACTGGTGGCCCGTACGGGGAACCATCTCAAACGTGAACTCAGAACTTCCTGCAGTCAGGGCAGCGCTGGTAAGTCTCCCAGGAAAATAAGGTGGGGATCCGCGATAAGAGCGGGCAGTCCTGCGACAATAGCGGGAGGATAGCTCTGTGATTAAAGCAGAGGAAGTTCTGCGACAAAAGCAGAAGGAGCTCTGACCCGTGGCCAGGGAAAGAGTACAATTTTTGACGATGGGTAATTCACAGTCCCATCAAATTTTTCTGGCACTGAATGCGCTGCTTTGAGAAAACGGTTTGAAACTTAAGCCTAGTACATTGCATAGGTTTTTACGGAACTGCGATACCATTGCACCCTGGTATGGGGTTTCGGGAAGCCTTACTATCCCCTCATGGGACAAACTAGGCAGGGATTTGGATTTTGCATTCGAACAGGGTAATCTCGAAAGGGGAGTGAGACCAATATGGAAGTTAGTGCGAGCATGCCTCGAGGATGAGCGGTATAGTGAAACTATTCTGAGCGGTCAAGCTGCCTTGGAGGAGCTTCAGGAAGAGCACTCCGAGAGAGCTGCCAGTGAAAAAGGGAAAACTTTGTAGGAGAGTCAGAAAAGAACTAGGAAAAAACTGTACCCCGATCTTTCCGAGTTGCGCAGCCCCTCCTTAGTAAGTAGTACTAGTGCAGAAAGTAGCTCAGAAAGCACAGTGAGTCTGAAGAGTGTGGCGATAACAAAGAGTCTGGTATAAAGCAAGTACGGGAATTGAATCGGCAAATGAGGATTTCCAAAAATTACAGCCGCTGAGCCATTACCAGGTGCTCCAAATATATTTACGGATGGGTCAAAAACAGGCTGTGGGGTTTATATGGTAGAGGGTAATGACCCGGTATTTCATCAGTTTCAGCTAGGCTCACCTCAAGTTGTGGAATTAAAAATAGTTATTGAAGTCCTTAAGCAGTGCTCTTTTGCCTTTAACTTGTTGTCAGATTCCTTATATGTGGTGAATGCATTAAAGATATTGGAAACCGCAGGACCGATTAAACCTTCTAGCCCAATTGCATGCCTAACGTCAGGTGATTGCTCATTGTCTGGATGCATGGGCCGCCTGGGGGAGACCCCAGGTGCTAAAAACTGATAATGGCCCAGCTTATACATCTCAAGCCTTTACCACCTTTTGCCAAAAAATGGAGGTTCAACTTGTCCATGGATTGCCATACAATCCTCAGGGCCAGGGCATAATTGAGCGAGCACACCGCACACTGAAAGAATATCTTTTAAAACAAAAAGGGGGATGCGACAGGCCAGGAGAAAGAGGAAAAATTCCACAGGTATCTTGACCTAGAGAAAAGTCTTAATTCGATAACCCTTTCCAACTTGATGGGTTTTTCTCTTTACAGTTAATAAAAACTTAAGCAATGGGCTCATACACTGATAATCAATTCTTTTCTGTGCTGCTGTAGCTAACTTATCTAATGAGAGTTTTCATGTGTCTTGAAGGTTTCACATTTTTCTATTGCCAGTATGAGTCTTGATTGGAAAAACTGCACCATGAAGCTGTTTACGTTATATCTTTAATGTTTGAGTGATTACCTATCTCTGATTAGATCTAGTCCACAGCCTTGGTTAAACGTACTAATTTCTGACTAAAATGGTTTGACTCTCTGATAGTTTAAATTCTAAACCGAGTCTTTCAACTTTGGGGCTTCCAGTCAGATCCCTGGAACTCTCAAAGGATGGGACTCTAAATTTGTTAAAGAGCTGTTTGAGTCAATTCAAATTATACAAAGTGTATTAAAATGTAGTAAATGATGTCAAATCTATGTTGTATTCATGTTTTTGCTTTTCAGCTAGAGTAGTCTTTTAAAATTGAGAGTAAATTCTGTGTATACAAGCCTTTATGTTGTTAACTCAAGTAAGCCAATACAGATTGGTTCAGAAAATTGGGTTAATGCAAACGCCCTTTGGTTCACTTGCTCAGTTTTACATTTACATGTCTTTGATATGCTTTAAACTTGTTTCTCTTAAGGATGAAGATCTTTTCAAAGTTGTAAATATGCACTAGTGACTGTTGCTGCCCAAGTGGTGTTATCCTTATGTTACTTAAAAGCATGGAAATGTAATTTTGACTTTTAATTCAGATAATAGTGTGGTATTCATTAATAGCTCAGTGTTTTAAGTTATCCAGGCATCGATGCTAAGTAAAATATGGAAAATGTATTATGTGTACTTTTAACATCTTAAATTTGATAAGAGAGACTTTTAAGTTTGCCAGCATGTATTCTCATAGGTTGTCCATACATGATAATTCAAGACTGTAAAAGTAACTACAGGTATAAAGTTTCAGAAGGTGTGAGCAAGTCATGAAAAGTTGTAAAAAGTTTACGATTTTAAAACATTGTTTACAGAGTTTTCTATAAGTTAAATGTTAATGCCAAAATTACACTAACCTAAAGTTGAAGTCTGATCTTCTGTTATAACAATGGGATTTTTTAAAATGTGTACTAATGTTAGTAATTATCTGGAAATGGTCTCAATTGTAAATCTTAAAATCTGTTGTTGCAAAAACTGTAACGTCTCTTTTTAACACTACTGTCTGTTAAGTTATGATTGATAAAAAGTATTAAGTCTTAAAAAGTTATGTTAAATATTATTATGATCAGATCTGGTCTAAAAGTGTTAAAATCACCCTGACTAAATGTTAAGGAATTCTATTTTGACCAGATACTCTAAGTTCTCTTGGCACCTTTAACAGACTTTCTGAAAATCAAAGTTCTAAATTCTCTGGACTTTTGGTATCTCCAGAGGGCCCCTGGAGATGTCAAAAGATATATCTCTCATCTTGCAGAGATAATAACCAATCGGGCTGTTTAGATTAAAAGTGGTGCCAAGATGTGAAATGATGCTAAACTTCAGTTATAAACGTGTTTCTTTCTAGCTGCTCCAGTCTCTGGCTCAGAAGCCAGATCCTTTAAAGAAAGACTGACAAAGTCTAAGAAGCATCCCATGGTCATGATTTGCATCACCTCAATGTCCAAACCTTATGATTAAGATACGGAATCACCCGGGAACAGGCAAGGCAAATTGTAAAATCCTGCCCTTCCTGTGTCACATTTCTCCCGGTCCCTTATTATGGTGTAAATCCTAGAGGTTTTATGCCTAATCAGCTTTGGCAGATGGATGTTACCCATTTCCCTGAATTTGGTAAACTAAAATACATACATGTTTCTTTAGATACATGTTCAGGTTTTGTTTTTGCCACCCCGCAATGCGGCGAGGCTGCCAAACATCTCGCATTGCCTTCAGGCCTTTGCTGTTCTAGGAACCCCTATACAGATAAAAACTAATAATGGCCCAGCATATACTTCCAACTCTTTTAAGCACTTCTGTACTAACTTCCACATCTCTCATCACCGGGATTCCTTATAATCCCCAGGGACAAGGTATTGTGGAACGAGCACATGCCACATTAAAAAATTATTTACAAAAAATAAAAAAGGGGGAATATGGGACCATGGCATATTCCCCACAAAAATGGCTATCACATGCTCTTTTCATTTTAAATTTTCTAATACTGGATAATCAAGGGAAAACAGCAGCTGATCGTCACTGGCATCCTGAAACCAAAAGACAACAAGTCTATGTGAAGTGGAAAGACCCTCTAACTGCTCAATGGTATGGACCTGACCCTGTTTTAATATGGGGACGTGGACATGTTTCTATAATCTCGATGGTTACCTGAGCGACTGGTGGGCAAACAGACAATGTCACAAAGCAGCCCCTCGATCTTCATTATGATAATATTGCTGATTGGGATCGTTACTGCAGCCGTTATAACCGCCATTTCCATTGCAGCTGTGGGCGCTACAACAGCTGCTATAGCGCTCACAGGGACAGTTCAAACTGCTAATACCCTGAATAATTTAACGGCCTCCGTGGCTGCTGCTTTGGATACTCAGACATCCTTAAATGCACAAATAAAGGGAGGCTTGATGATTGTTAATCAACGTGTGGATTTGGTACAGGAGCAGGTGGATACTCTCTGGCAGCTTGCTCAGCTAGGATGTGAGTGGAAATTTTCAGGGTTGTGTGTGACCTCTGTTCAGTACGATAACATGACTCAGGCAGCAAATTACTCTAAACAGTTGTCTCAGATGCTCTTGCAGAATTGGTCCGCAGAATTTGACTACACCTTGAAGCAACTGTGCCTTGCCGTGGTCACCATCAACTCCACACGTGTGGATGTCTCCTTCGCATCTGGATTGTCATCCTGGATCCGCACAGCCGTCTCCAACCTGAAGGAGTGGGCGGGACTTGGAGCTTTGACGGGGTTGCTGTTACTTGTGTTATTTTGCCTGTGGTGTTTGTGCAGGATGAGGACAGCTCATTGGTGGGAATTGGCCATGATAGCTCAAGTCTTTTATGCCCTTGAGGCTGGACAATCGCCGCAAGCATGGCTGGCCTTCCTTGAATGCTAGGCATGGGTGCAGGGTGCAAGGCAAAGCACTGCAGAGAGAACAAGCCATTATGTTCTCTGGAAGGCAAGTCTGTCTGCATGTGGGTTGGCATCCCAGATCCCACCCCCGCGAAAAGGATGCTGTTCCAGGTGGATGCCTGGCAGTGGGGGACAGACCCCTACCTTCTCCTGTAATCCTTAGATGCCTGGTTCTAAAACAAAAAGGGGGAACTGTGGGGAGCCATTGCACCGCGCCCTAAAGATGGCGCCGGCTCCTTTCTCCCGGAAGGACTGGCAAGAAACAAACAACTCCTAATAAGGAGATGGCTGAGCTCCCTTCTGGCTTCCGCATTGCTGTACCTATCAATCCTTGCCACTTGGCTGCTTTTGATTGGTGTGCTGATGGCTATAAGAGGGATGGGAGAGGGAAGGAGGCGGAAGAAGAAGCTTGTTCAAGGTTCCTGAATAAACTGCTTGAAGAAGAGTTCGGGTTGTGTCTTCCTTGCTGGTCGAGGGACACGACAGGGAAGATTATAATATGTAGAAATATATTCGCTGTACACTCTAAAGTTTGTGTGACTTTTATCAAGGATCCAGATCCTAAGCTTAAAACAATTATAAGCATAATTGTAAGAGAAATAGCTACTGGTCCAGAATATAAAACTATAAAGCATATGTAAGTGAGCCAACAAGAGAAATTATCATTATAGTGGAGACAGCAGCAGCTGCACACATCATTTCACTACCCAGCTTCTGCTAACACCTAAATGGCAGAAACTGTTGAAATCAATAATTCACAGAAACCATGAGCCAGCTGTTCCCAGAGCTGCCAGTGTTCTCAGTGTCTTCTTTGAACTGGAAGATTTCCCAATTGCTTCAAACAAAAGAACAAGAATGATGCTTATGATAGTCCTTTTTATTACATCGATTTATTTAATTAAGAGGCAAAGAGATAGACAGAGAGTTAGTGTTTGCTGGTTTACTACCCAAATGCTTGCAACAACTGAAAGGGTCAAAGCCAGCAGCCAGGAACTCAGTTGAGGTCTCCCATGTGAGTGGCAAGAACCCAACAACTTGAGGCATCTGCTGCCTTCCAGACTCTACAGTACTGGAGAGCCAGGCTGAGAAGCTGCGGATCGATACTGATCCCAGGAATCCCAATGGGAGAGATACAGGTGTCCTAACTGGTGGTCAAATACTGACCCTGTTAATGCTATTCTTGATTGGTATCCCTGTCTGAGATATAAAAAGAAGTAATCGCTGCATCTCCTGCTGGGATGCATTTTGTGCACACAGGTCCATAGCTCCAAACTTTCTGCACACATGTGCCGATAATTCCAAACCTTCTGTTCACACATGCCTGTAGCTTCAAACCTTCCATGCACATATGCCTATACCTTCAAACCTTCTGCACACATGTTCCCATACCTCCAAATTTTCTGTGCACACGTATCTGTAGTTCCAATATTGCACACACGCATACCTACAACTCCAAATCTTCTAGACTTTGTTGTTACTTCCCAAGATGCCCAAGTGTCTGCTGCTATAGCTGCTGTTTCTCCATCTATTTATGTCTTTCTCTGGATAGAGTACAAATGCTTCCATTTACATCAGTTGTCTACAATATTATCTCTCTTTGAACCAAAATGCACATACAAATGAGACAAGCACTACACTTGTCAGAAGTCATTGATGTTACACTGAGCATTATATATAAAACTCTTGTGCTAGTTTGATTCAAGTCAAGAATAGGCACTGGTTTGTGTGTGCCTGAGATAATGCAGCAAAACAAAACCTTGTGCCTGCAGGATTGAAGAGGAAAAGGAAGCAGAAGCCTGTGCTTAGTTATCACTACACAAGAACATTCAAACCCAGTTACAATGATTTTCAAGCAGAATTGAGTTGGATCCAATGACATAGACAGAAGTTGTCTGGGGGAAGAGAAGACTAGAAGGGAGAGAGCAAAATGTAGATGGATGGAATAATTAAAATAGAAACAGTGAATTCAAAGAAATAAAGGATAAGTGAAAGAGACAGGGAAGCAAAAAGCTAGTCTCAGGGTGGGTAATGAAGGAGGATGAATATTTGAATGGCTTTGAAATTCCCTGTAGAGCATCACTAAATGACAGCTTCCAAAACCAAGGCATGTCTTTTATACTTCATATCATTGTGCATAATTTTTTACATTGAAATAAATGTGTTCAGCAGACTGGATAGAACCAATAAGACAGCTTTGTTTATGTCAATGTTTTAATTAAATGCAGAGAGCTATTGCAAAGCAATTGAGAAATAGGTGATTGTTATGATAATGACATATTGATTGTGCTCCTCCATGCCTTTCATCTTTTTTCTGTTCTTTCTTCTTCATTAAGCCCACGAAAGGCATTCAGGCACATTATTTACTTCCTGAAAAATGTGGCTCAAGTTGTTTGTTCCAATGAGTATGGGAAAAGGATATGTCCCCCTGGGTTCTTTGTGACTGGGAAATCATTCTTCCAATGCTCCCAGCCCACTCACCCAGCCCAATTCTATAAAGGAATCTGCTGCTGCCCACCCATCATGGAATCTTCCCAGGTTGCAGCTCCCTCAGGAGACATGGAGCCAGGATTCTTCCCTTCCATTGCTATCTTTCTCCTTGTGGCCCTGCTGTTTCCAGGTAAACCAAGCTGGCCTGAACCTACATGCCAGGGTTTCTACAATGATCAGTTTGGGTGCGGAAATCCAAGATAAGTCCTGGGAACACATTTTCCTTTCCTTTTTTTTTTCTTTGTAGAGAGAGAGATTTTATTTTAAAGGCAGAGTGTCAGAGGAAATGGGGAGTTGCAGAGGGAGAGGGAGTAGGAGAGAGAGAGGAAGACAGAGTGGGAGAGGGAGAGGGAGTGGCAGAGAGGGAGAGAAAGAGAGAGACCTTTTATCTGCTGGTTCACTCCTCAAATGGCAGTAATGGCCAGGGCTGGGCCAGGCCAAAGCCAGGAGCCTGAAACTCTATTGTGTCTCCCACATTGTGGCAGGGTCTCAAGTACTTGGGTCATTCTCTGTTGCCTTCCCAGACACATTAGCAGGGAGATGGATTGGAAACAGAGCAGCCAGGACTCAACTGAGCACTCTGATTTGGGATGCCAGTGTGGCAGGTGCCAGCTTAACCTATTGGGCCACAACGCTGGCTTTGGGAGTACATTTTGTTTTTGACAGGCAGAGTGGACAGTGAGAGAGAGAGACAGACAGAAAGGTCTTCCTTTTCCATTGGTTCACCCCAATGTCCGCTGCGGCCGGTGTGCTGTGGCTGGCGCACTGCACTGATCCGAAGCCAGGAGCCAGGTGCTTCTCCTGCTCTCCCATGCAGGTGAACGCGCCCAAGCACCTGGGACATTCTCCACTGCATTCCCAGGTCATAGCAGAAAGCTGGGCTGCAAGAGGAGCAACTGGGACAGAACCAGTGCCATGACCAGGACTAGAACCTGGTGTGCCTATGGAGCTGCGGCGCCGGCCGGGAGTACATTTTCTTAATGAGGCTTGTGGGAAGCAGACTCTGGGCTGTGTTTGCAAATGAAATTTTGAATATGCTGGTGGCACTAGCTTCCCAGAGAGCACATCCATCCACTGACTCCACTTTCTCAGCCTTCACGTGTTTCCCTTCCCTTTGTGGAGAAGGACATTCAATTTTAGGAACTCTTCAACAGGTACACTGGTGGTATCCATGGCAAATGATCCTCTTGGCTTGAGGAGTTGCCCAAGCTCATGTTCTTCCACACAGTGCTGTTGGCACATCACACAGCTTCTTGTGCACAGACGTGCACACTCACAACTCCCATTTCACCTCTTTCAACTCACCTCATCCCATCACCCACTTGGCCTTGCCTCTGGGATTGTAGGTGCCTCCTCCTCACAAGTCTGCTGAGAATCTTATGCTGTGCATTTATGCTCCCACAGAATTGCCCAGTGCCCAGCACACTAGCTTCCCAAGTCCTGAGTTTTACACAGAACCCTGGCAACCACCTGCTGAACAAAGGTATCCCTTGTCAGAACGCCAAGAAAACGACTATGGCATATTGCCACGCACCCCGCCTTTTTATGGTAAGTAAGACTGTAGCAGGTTCATCTACTCAAGAAATGCTTAATTAGCAAACATATGGGAAAGGTATTGTATAGGAAGAGGGGTGTGTCTGGGGAAGACACGGTATGGATGCCTTGGTCTTCCCTGTCTTTCAGGAAGACCATGGGGATCTTACAGTCTCCCTTGGAACTGGATTGCTGGGGACCCCATGAAACATGGGGGTCTTTAGGAGCCAAGAAAAACTTATCTGAAGCCACATTTGTAATCCTGACATCAGCCAAACACAGTAGCCAGAGGAAACAATATTGGTGTAACATTCTTCTACTGTCACCTAACAGCCCTATTTCCTTGGCCTTGGAAGCCATTCCCTCTACAGCATTTTACTGAATATTTGTTAAGTACCAGGTGCCCAGAGAGGTAGGCAATAGTTTCTGGGAATGAGGAGGATAGGATATCATTTAGAATGTGTTTATTTCATTTCTTGTTTTTATAAGGAATATTTAACTAACAATATTCAGCATAAAAGGGCAACTTCTCTGGCAATCTACTTAGGTGAGGAGAGGGACAGAATGATAAGGAGCAATGAGCCCATAGACCCTCTTCTGGACTCTTCCAGCTGGTCCAGGCTCCTGGTTTGTCCCCAGACTCCTGAAATTGCTAGCTTCAAATCTATCAGGGCCTGGAGAAAACAGCAAGAAACAAGATTTTTCGTTAACCCTAATTTCATCGCTGCCCTGAAACAGAGTAAACCGGTCACAAGTTCAGCAGATAATAGCAAGGAAGACAAGAGAGTGTTGGTTGGTGAATTACCAGTAAAATCCATCAAGTAAAATCCTACTAACTCTAATCTCTGCTTTATCCCACCCTATCTTCAATTCCTTTGATTTGGCCTTTGTTCCAAAGAACTGTCTAGTCTGGTCTTCCTAAGGTAAAGGAAAGGTAAAATGCACTTACCTCATTCCAAATGCACAGAGACCAGCAGAAATCAGGGGTCACTGAATCTCCCAACATGCCCATGAGCCATGATTATCAGCCCCAGGAGGTTATTGAGGAGATGGCCAAGATTGGAAGGAACAGAATCACATGTAAGCAGTAGGTGTTGTCATTTAGAACACAAAGCTTTGAACTGTAGAAAGGTGTTTCATATGCATTTGCCATCCCTCACCATATCCCCAAAGTATTAAAATGGCCACTGTTTAATTGTTGAGATACTCCTAAAAGGGTAATGTTGAATTTCTTTATATAGAACCTGAAGAAAGCTTCAAGGTTGTCAACTGCAAGAGAAACGAAGGCTACTGTCAAGAATTTTGTAATTATTTGGAAACACAAATAGGCTACTGCTCCAGAAAAAAAGATGCATGCTGCTTACGTAGGAACTGATGCTGCTTATCTAGAAGCCCCAGCCCTACTGGCCTGCCTGCTCTTCTGGGCCACATTGGAGCAGTGGCTGTTCAGGACTCCCTGAACACCTGAGGTGATGCTTCCTCTGCCAGTCTTAGTAGTGTATTCTGCAGAAATAAAATTTAGAAACTGGTTACACATAATCTTAAGGAAAGTAACTTACCTTGAGATATAGAAAATCTTCAAAATTACATGATTTGTACTATTAGATGTGGATATAATAAATTCTCATAGGCTAACATTCAAATGAGTATTTCTTTTATTTCACAATTTGTTTGAATACTGGCTTTTGTTGTAGGCACTGAAAACTGAGTGGATTAGAAACATGATTAGGATTTGTGGGACAATGTCTATCCAAACAAATAAAAACAAAAATTCTTTGTATGCTATAATATGGGCACCCTTTAGGGTACTGTGTACGTAGCAGAGAAATATAGGAGAATTTAAAAAGGGCTCCAAGGGAAAATTTGAGGATGACTAGTTTAGATGGGTGCAGGGTAGGTTTCCAAGCATTTGAGGAACAGTAAAAGGAGGCTAGCATGGCTGGAACAATGGGATGTAGGAGCATTGGGTGTATGCAAAGTCAGGGTGGTCAGAGTAAGGTCACGAAGCTTAAAACAGTAAGGTTTGAGCTCTTACACTGAGGAAGGTATGGTGCCTTTTAGGATGCATCTATTTGATATTTTGCATTTATTAAGAAGTATTTATTAACAATAAGCATTTATTAACAATCCTCTGGGTAGAAGTTGACCCATACCTGAATCATGCTGGGAAGTGAACTTGAGTCTTGCTTCGTGAAGCTTCATTCTTTCAAAACTGCTGAGATGAAATACAATGCAATGTCACTTGGTAAGGGGCAGGTATCTGCTCTGCTCTCTGTGAAGCCCAGGATGAAGAAGCAGCTGGACTGGCCTTGGGCATGTGTGACCAGTATGGCATAAAGACAGCAGGTGGGACCAGCACTGTGGCCCCCCTGCTTAATCTTCCACCTGCGACACCGGCATCCCATATGGGTGCCAGGTTCTAGTCCCGGTTGCTGCTCTTCCAGTCCAGCTCTCTGCTGTGGCCCAGGAAGGCAGTGGAGGATGGCCCAGGTGCTTGGGTGCCTTCAACCGCTTGGGAGACCAGGAGGAAGCACCTGGCTCCTAGCTTTGGATCTGGCACAGTGCACCAGCCTCAGTGGCCAACTGGGGGGTGAACCAATGGAAGGGAGATCTTTTTCTCTGTCTCTCTCACTATCGAACTCTGCCTGTCAAATAAAAAAAAGTTATAAAAAAAGACAGAAGGGAAAGCAAGACTGCAGCATCCAGATGTTAAGGCACTGCAGGCACCTGTGATCTCAGCAGCACACGGCATATATGGGTGAAGGGGTACGGATCCTGGTTCATGTTTAGCTTCTGGCTTTCCTAATGAGTTTGAAACACCAGACCTGCTGCATCTTCTGTCCCTTTAAGCTAAGTAAAAGTCAAATTGGGGATTGGACATTTTGTGTAACAGGTAAGAATGTCTCTTGAGACACCTATATCCCATATCAGAGCCTGCATGTTCTTTTTTTTATTTTTTTAACTTTTATTTAATGAATATAAATTTCCAAAGTACGATTTATGGATTACAATGGCTTCCCCCCCATACCGTCCCTCCCACCCACAACCCTCCCCTTTCCCACTTCCCTCTCCCCTTCCATTCACATCAAGATTCATTTTCGATTATCTTAATATACAGAAGATCAGCTTAGTATATATTAAGTAAAGATTTCAATAGTTTGCTCCCACACAGAAACATAAAGTGAAAAATAATAGATTATTTTTTTAAATGATGATGAAATCAGATCAGACCTATTGTCATGTTTAATCCCAGTGAGAGTCAAGTTGGGAGTTGGGAGTTGATAATTTTTTTTTTTTTTTACAGAGGATCAGTTTAGTATGCATTAAGTAAAGATTTCAACAGTTTAGAGCCTGCATGTTCTAGCAGCACTCCTGATCCCAGCTTCCTACTAATTTGTCCCCTTGCAGACAGCAGGTATGGCTCAAGGGATTGGGTCCCTGCCCTCACATGGGAGACCTGGCATGGCCCAGCCTCACCTGTTCTAGGCACTTGGGGATTGAACCAGCAAATGATGGATAAATGATGGATGTAACTGTCCTTCTCTCTCTCTCTCTCTCTCTCTCTCTCTCTCTCTCTCTCTCTCCCCCTCCCCCCACCCCGCTCCTTTGTGCTTGTTGCGCTCAGCACAAGTCTTGTACACAACTGTCCCTCAAAAATACTGTTGAGTGAATGACAGCCACCACAATCATTGAACAATCATCTGCAGAGATGAATTTACCTCTTTCTGTCAACTTGGATAACTTTAATCTTTTATTTTTATTTTACCTGAAAGTGGGGATATTAACGTTACATAATGTGTAATTCATGACAATTATCATAAAGTGAGGAAAGAATATATTATTTTGTAGAGTATACAATTCAGTGAAAATGACATTTATAAATGACATTTACATGCCAAATAATATATCTTCACATTTTATACTCCCTATATGTTAACTTCCATATATGAGAGAAAATATATGGCATCTCCTTTTCATGTATGAAAGTCATGTCTGAGTTATTCCACTTTGCATAATAATCTTCAGTTCCATCCATTTTGCTGCAAGTGTCAGGATTTCATTATTTTTATGCAGTCAACCAAGGTGTCTGTCATCAGATGAATGGATAAATAATGGATAAAGAACATTTATTTATACACAATCAAATACTATTCAGCTATAAAAATGATGAAATCCTGTCATTTACAGTGAACAGATGGAATTGGAAGACATCATGTCAAGTGAAATAAACCAGACAGAAAAGACAAATACTGCATGTTCTCCCTCTTTGTGGGAGCTGAAATCAAATCAAAACAAAACAAAACAAAAACTCAATCAGAGCGAAGAATGGTGATTGTTAGAGGTGTGGGGAGGGAGAATAGAGGGAGTATGGATAATAGATACTAAATCAGAGTTACATTGACGGAATAAGTTCCTAGTGTTACACAGCACAGTGTGAAGACTATAGCTCACAACAGCCTAGTGTATATAGTATGAATAAATAGAAGAAGGAAGCTCAAAACCCCCAGTTAACCAAATGAGTGGAAAAGGAAACTTTTGCACTTTAGTATTTAGGACACATCTGGTGAAGGAGAACTCCCTCAGTCTTTGCTTCTCTGAGAAAAATCATTTTCTCCTCTGTATTTTTGATGATAGATCAATTTTCTAAATAAAATATTCTTGGTGGTCAATCTTTTTCTTTCAACATTTTGAATGTATCACCCAACTCACTTCTGGCCTGCAAGGATTCTGCTAAAAGATCCTCCAATAGCCTTATTGTGGTTTCCATGTGTGTAACAAGTCACATTTTTTAGCCGCCTTCAAATGTTTTTAACTGTGGATCATTTGATTGCATGTGTCTCAGGTGGGCCTCCTTCGAATTTCTCCTGTAGACTGCACACTCTTTCCTCCTGTGTCTTTTCTTTGTCACCCTCAAGATCCTGTGTGCACAAGCTTTGATAGCACTCATATACAAGGCAGCCATCTCTGGAGTGAGTCAGCAGCAAGAATGTTGGGAAAAGTTCACAGCTTGCCTTGGTTTCCAAAGCACTTCTGAGTGCTTTGTCAGCTCCCAGAGGCAGACTAATGAAAGCTCTGCTCCACTGGGAGCAGCTAGGAAAGTCAGGATGTTAAGTCAAAACCCTCCCGGGGAGAAACTCAATGTTGGCCATTTTTACCCAATTGGCTCTGCACAGAGCCTTGGGGAGTAGCCACTGGAGTGCCCATGAAGTTTTTTTTAAAACTGCTCCTTTAGTGGGACATGGTGGTTAAATATGGGATTCTTGCATCCTATACTGATGTGCTTGTATTTGAGCCCTGTCGCCTCTTCTGATCCAGATTCCTGCTCATACATGCCCAGGGAGGGAGCAGATAGACGATGGTTTATGAACTTGAGTCCCTGCCACCGATGTGGGAGATCCTGATAGTGTGCCTAGCTCCTTGATTTGAACTAGTCCAGCCCCAGTTGTTACAGTTGAAGAGAAAACCAACAAACAGAAGATCTCTCCTCTCTCTCTCTCCCTCTGCATTTCCTCTCCCTTTCCCTTTCAAATTAAATAAAAATAAATAAACTTTAAACATATAAATATATAAATATAAATATATATATATATAGTAGAAATAAAACTGCTTCTTTGTTCCTTGTGTTTAGGGGGACTTGCAAATGAAGAGCCCAGTCGACTCCCAGAGCAAAGCCATTTGAGTGCCAGCCCTTTAAGTAGGAGCTGTAAAAATTGAGATGTTCAATCTTTGGAAGAATTCCTTCCAGGGAGAAGTTGGAGAGTGGATTTTAATCACTGAAGCAAGCCAGATGGAAGACAGAGGAAGTAACCCAGTGCCCATTAAGGCTCCCACAAGATAGCTGTTCACTTGGCCCTTCAGCTGATAGATGCAGACTGGTTACCCAACTCTCTAGCATCTGGGAGGGCAGACAAACATCTTCTGGGAAGGACCACGAGTCGAGAGTTATTGTCTGTTCTGTGCTAAACCTGGGAAGCACCAGTGGGATTATTTGCAGGCCCCTTTAAGACCACCTCTCTATTCTCAGTGGTCTCAGGAGACTCAAAAATGCAGTTCCCAGGCCCTTCCAGGTTCATTGATTTAGGAGCCAGTCTCAGGTCAGAGCTGTGAAAACTGGATATTCAGTACAGGTGGACAAACTCCCTTGATGCAGAAGATGGAGACCTGATTTTATTTCTGGAGCAAGCAAGGGAAAAAGACACAGGGGGTCTCTAAAATCCCATGCAGGCTCCCTTAGTCCCACTGTTCCCCTGCCCCTGTGGTTCCAAAGGTCTCTTGTTTTCCTCTTCTTTTGCCTGACCCTCAGGCAGCACTTGGAAGTCTGCAGGCAGCAACCTTCCTCTCAGAAGAACCTGGTAGCAGGGCACTTTGCCTGTT